CAGGCATTATCTTACACCCCTACAGAACCATGATAATCTAGGCATTATCTTACACCTCTACAGAACCATGATAATACAGGCATTATCTTACACCTCTACAGAACCATGAGAATCTAGGCATTATCTTACACCTACCATGAGAATCTAGACATTATCTTACACCTCTATAGAACCAGTGAGTATATTATCTTTCCTAACTTAGTAATTAACCCAGGGTATACATGTATTTATGTCCACACCTAAGCAGCATGGAACTGGAGTACAGAGGGCTCACCTAGTGGTGAGGTTATATAATGCACCACCCTGAAACAGTCTGTAAATCACCCTAGCCAAGACATTCTGATACACACCCAGTGTAGAACCCTGGTATTACAGAGCTATGGAAAAAATACAGAAATAATGTGTTTCTTTAATACTAAATAAAGTTGCTTGCTGGGAAGTTTTAAGCTAGAGAGGAATCAAGTATAAACTAGCTTTTTTTACTTTCCTTCATAGTAAGATTAAAGGTTTGAAGCAGACTGGAAAAGCTGGTGATACTGGTAAATGGAGGCCAGAGCATAATGGGAACAGCTTCGATCAATGATCAAGGAAGCCTTGATGCCTTCTCGGTTCCAGATTTACTCCCTATGTCAAACAGCTCAAGATTGGAGCATTTTTGAAAAGGGTTTATACTATGTAAAGGTTAGGCAGGGGACACAGGAAACTATGTTATAGAAAACTTACAATAGGTGTGATTGTCTCTATTTAGCTGATAAGATGCATTGTCAGGAGATTTCCTGAGATCTGCTTTATCTAGATATGTAGAGATGGGGTGAAGGTAATTCAGGCAAGAAACCAAACCCAGAAAAATTGCTGTACAGCAAAATTTTGACATTGTGTCATGTGAGATGCTGTGAAGCCTAGTCTGTGTGTAATGTTATGGTTGTCAGGGGAAAGAGAAAGGCTCACACAGCCACGAAAAGATGCTGAAATCTGCTAAAATCGCCCCAACACTGTCTATTATATTGATTGTAATTGCAGCTAGTTTTTATGGTTTTGGGAAAATTCCAAAATGGTTCAGAGAATATTCATTAGAACAGTTTAATACTTGGTCTGTCATTCCAATTTGGTAATAAATCAGTACAATGTCTCCAGCTCATAGGCTTGACACTTTGTGTTCTGCCACAGATGTGTAGATACAGATGATGGAATTTGACCAAGGCCAGCAATTCGTGTATGGCTCCTACAAATTCACAGTAATGTACAGACAATAAAAATTGAGCAGGGATATATTGCTAATGAAAATTCAACGATAACAGCAATTAATGTACCGCTGTTTTATGCAAGGCTATAAAAAATAGATCAATGCAGTAATACCAAACTTACTGCTGATAAGAATTAGCAAAAAATAGCATTGTACACTTTACAAAATGACTAAATCAGCAATGTATCACTTATAAGAGAGTATATAGTCAGCAATTAAAAAATGTAATTGCCACATGACCAATAAACTGTTGTACAGACAAAACCAGGAGGTTGAGGAAAGAGTCACGCTTTGGCCAAAGGTCAACAATACAATTGGGTGACATTAGGCCAAAGGTCAACACAATTGGGTGACATCAGGCCAAAGGTCAACACAATTGGGTGACATCAAGCCAAAGGTCAACACAATTGGGTGACATCAGGCCAAAGGTCAACATGGTTGGGTGACAAGGTCAACACAATTGGGTGACATCAGGGAAAAGATTCCAGCAAAGCATTTAGCTTTTCGAACAACACTTGTAAAAAATTAAATACTGGTAATGCATCGTACCATCAGAATATTCTTGATTTCATTATGTCATGTCATTTCTTTCCCACTATGACATCATACAGATGAAATGGGATCTAAGATAAAAATATCTTAAACCCTTTCTTTCCCTGGATACATCTGTCATATGTATTTGTAGGAATGGCAGAATGTGATGTCTTTATCAGGTATTATGACAGCCTTGGTAAAAGACTATGATATCCCTAGTCAGATACTCTGATGACATCCCTGAAGAGACACTGGGATGCCCCAGGTAATGAGAGACTTATAACAGACATTTAGGTTGGTGAGAGACTTATAACAGACATTTAGGTTGATGAGAGACTTATAACAGACATTTAGGTTGGTGAGAGACTTATAGTGTGAGAGACTTATAACAGACGTTTAGGTTGGTGATAGACTTATAACAGACATTTAGGTTGATGAGAGACTTATAACAGACATTTAGGTTGGTGAAAGACTTATAACAGACATTTAGGTTCGTGAGAGACTTAAAACAGACATTTAGGTTCGTGAGAGACTTAAAACAGACGTTTAGGTTGGTGATAGACTTATAACAGACATTTAGGTTGATGAGAGACTTATAACAGACGTTTAGGTTGGTGAAAGACTTATAACAGACGTATAGGTTGGTGAGAGACTTATAACAGAGGTTTAGGTTGGTGAGAGACTTATAACAGACGTTTAGGTTGGTGAGAGACTTATAACAGAC